AAACGGATTGCACAAGTTTTGCGAAAAAAATTGCAAATTTTTTGCAAACAACCTGTTAAAAGAAATTTGCAAATTTTTAGTTTTAAAAAATATAATATTTTATCATATTTTGTACATTTCTTTATTTTGCAAACATGTTTACTACACAACAGTATTTTACAAAAAAAATGATCAATTTTTGCAAATTTCAGTGCCGATTCTTACAGTCTACAGAACATACTAGCTTTCCAATGATGTATTTTTTGTCATATCTGGACATCAAACATATGATTTGACACCCCCCCCCCCTCAGCGTATCATGGTTTTCAAGTACCCCAGAAGGGATAGGGTTAAACAGAACAGGTTGTGAGCTAATGTGGTGCATACTGTATATCTTGCAGCCAAGCATATTTTAAAGCACTAGTCAAATGTAGGGTTTTAAGATAAATTCAATTGTACAATAATCTAACCTTTTATGGTTCTCCCAGGTACCTAAGGTAACATTTTTATGAAGAGAACCAAATATTTGGTGTAGATCCTAAACAGACAATTGAGTATCTTAGTTTTCTCAGATAATAGGTAGGATAGGTAGGATAGGTAGGATAGGTAGGATAGGTAGGATAGGTAGGACAGGTAGGATAGGTAGGATAGGTAAGAGAGGTAGGATAGGTAAAATAGGTAAGATAGGTAGGACAGGTAGGACAGGTAGGATAGGTAGGATATGTAGGATAGGTTGGATAGGTNTTTTTACCGATTCAAAAATCAAACTTTTAATAATTAGAGAGGTTGGAGAGGTTGGAGAGGTAGGATAGGTCAGATAAAATAGAGGCTCGGTTCAGAGCATGGAAACAGAGTTTTACCGATTTTTCTCTCTCATTCCCCCTCAATATATCTTGTCGAGTGGTTCTCTAAAGTCCGGCTTCGTATTTTTTTATGTAATGCTCCGAATTATTTTGCTTTATTTAAGATAAAGATTCACGAAAAGTTTTCTTTTTTTACTTTTATCGTACATATGACTCAAAATCGGGTTTATTTAAAATTTTAAAACATTTTTAAGAAAGATGAACGGAACCAATGAGAGCGAAGTTTTTGAAGATTTGTTTGTTAAAAATACGGATAAACTTTGCAATATTCTGATGCTGTACCTAGACGGTTATGGGGTGGTAAGTTGTTGAAGGAATTATTATTTCATTTATAAAACTGGGCTTCAAAAAGGATTTCAACCGAAAGAAACATTTTTTCCATTTTTTCACTTGCAATTTTTTACAAGTTTGCAAAGATGAGAAGAATTCCGTGCAAATTATCACTTTCTGCTCATTGGCTAATTTTAATTGCATGTTTGCATGTCTTTTAATCAAAATTTAAAAATTCAATTCTGGAACTCACAACATTTTTTTGTAAAGGAACTGAGTTTTGACACAAACTAAAATCCTTTAAAATCAGTTTATCTTTGCAACCCAATGTAGTAGACCTTTGAGTTTTCAAACTGTGAAGTTTGAAATATCAAATTTAGGGTTGCAAAAATATAGGGATACTTAAATTTGAGTTTGTGTCGAAAACGATCAGTTTCTTTTATCAACGCATTTAATTTGTTTTAATATATTACGCAACGTTTTATACGCAAATTAAATACAGTTTAGCCCAGAACTTCGGAGAAAGCGAAAGAATTTAAAAAACGTCGTCTTGACAATTTTTAATGGGCAATATTACCTAAATCTCAGTAATTGATATTATGAGTTGATGCGAGAACAGTTTTAAACAGCTCCATACATTATTTAATTAAAAAACTTAATATCTGCAGCATTTCATTATCAGCAGGTTTAGAAGACGACATTTTATCAATACTTTTGTTGTTCCCGAAGTTCTGGATTAAACTGTATGAGTTTTAGTATTAGTCCAATTTTTTCTCCAATTTTTGAGTGAAAAATTAGAGATGAACAAATGTTAAATCCATTTCCATATATTCTTCTCTTAGGTTTATTCAGAAAAGACAAATCTATTATCCTAACTTACATGTAAGACAACAAAAAAATATATCAAAGAAGTTTTTTTCAAAAAATTCTATTTGAATAGCTACCAGATTGTTTCTCATTTATTCAGTTGAGAAGTATCTGGGTAAAAGTGAAGAAATGATAACCTGAAAACTGTAGAAACTGAAGACGACATTGAAGCAATAATGAATTACATTTGATGTTGTCATTAAGCAAATAGCTTTACTATTTATTTATTAAATCACTTATTAATTAAAATGGGTCTGTTTACACTGCACTAATGCTGTGTCTCAAGCTTATTGGCCTATTTAAAGTCCTAAATTAAGTTCAAAAGTCGACTTCCTATGCCAGAGTTTTCTGGTTATCACTGTAGTAAGAATTCGATTCTTGATAATTAGGAATAAGTATACAGCATGATTATAGCAATACAAAAATGTATTTGATGTTGATACAAAACAACTTTTTTTACTAGACACTTATTAAATCACTAATTTAGTAAAATGTGTCTGTTTACACTGCACAATTGCTGTGTCTCATGCTCATTGGACTTTTTAAATCTATATAACTTGATTCAGAATTTTTGGTTACATCCCATGCTACCAAAATATCTGAACAATATCTTTATAATGATTTTTTTAGTTGGTTCTGAGTGTGTTTAGTATACTCTCCAATATTCTCTCTATCCTGGTTCAACTTCAAAATAAGGAAAAACCTTTTTTTCAAAAAAAAATTATTTGTTTATTTGTTCTTGGAACTAATTGAATTTAATCTATTTTATGATCTGACTATTGTTAACAATCCTTTGATAGAAGATTTTTTCATCAATGCTAGGAATCTAAAATTGGATTTATTCTAAAACCTAATATTATAAGGAAAAAATAAAGAAAAAAAAGTACATTTTTCTTTTTTTAAAAATGTTAATTTCCAACATTTCCTTTATAATCTCTGCAAGAATAAATCCGCAAATTGCTTTTTTAAGTACCCACAATTGAAAATATTTAATTTTCACCTAGAAAATAATGATATCTTAAAAACCCTTGATCAAACAAAAGCTTAAATGGTTCCGTTGTGAACCTCACTTTCCTTCCTAAAATTAAAGGTCACTTGAAATATTTTCTTTAATCACTTAAATTAGATTAATCTTTTATCATGAATTCGATTAAAATATAGTTTTGAAAACAGGAAAAGACGACTTTTGACAACCTTGTCACTCTACTCTCAATTTGTGATTTGCTGTTTGTGATGGTTGCTGTCTTTGATATGTCACTCATTTCAGGTATATGTCACTTATTTCAGTATATGTCACTTATTTCAGATATATGTCACTCATATCAGATATTTATCACTCATTTCAAATAATTGTCACTCATATTAGGTATATGTCACTTATACTAGGTAGACAAATGTCACTCATATAAAGAATGTGTCACTCATTTTAATAAATGTCACTAATTTCAGGTAAATGTCACTCATTTCAGGTATATGTTACTCATTTCAGAATTTTGTCACTCATGTATCTGTATCTGTATACTATAGGTAAACACATGTCACTTATACAAAGTACAGTGTCACTCATATCATGTAAATTTCATTAATTTCAGGTATCTGTCACTCGACATTTAAGGTATAAGTCACTCATTTCAGGTATATGTCACCCCATTCAGGTATGTGTCACTCATTTCAGGTATATGTCACTCATTTCAGGTATAAGTCACTCATTTCAGGAATATGTCACTCATTTCAGCTATATGTCACTCATTTCAGGTATATGTTACCCCATTCAGGTATGTGTCACTCATTTCAGGTATATGTCACTCACATTTCAGATATTTGTCACTTGTAAATGTAACTCATACTAGGTAGATACATGTCACTCATTTCAAGTTTATGTAACTCATATCAGGTATATGTCACTCATATAAGTTATTTGTAAATATATGCCACTCATATAAACTTTTCAAGTTTATGTTACTCATTTGAGAAAAATAAATTTTTCTAAAAACTAAGATTTTCTTATTTTAGTGTTCAACTGGCCTGTGAAACATGTTGATCCTGTGATGTACATCTTGATCCCAAACTTCTTCTACCCGGTCAAAAACCTTCTCAACAATCTTAGGAAATTAAACAACTGCCTTTTCTCATTTTAAAAAACGGAACCGTCAAACCTGGCAGTTCGTCAATCTAAACCAAAGCAATTTATGATAATGTAAAGGAACTGAGTTTTTGCGATAAACTCTAGAATCCTTATTTCTTTGCAACCTGATGGTGTAAACCATTGATATTTATTGCAACCTGATGGTGTAAACCATTGATATTCCAAACTTTGACTTTTTGATTTATCAGAATTTTGAACTTGAAATAGTATAGGTCTAAAACACCGGGTCTTAAAGATAAAGGGATTTAAAAATTTGAGTTTGTGATGGCAAAAACTCATTTTTTTTGTTCGAAATTCCTAATTGTGAGATGTCACAAACATTTTATTCATAATTTCGATTAAAATGTTTGTGGTTTTTAATGCTTTCGATATAGTTTGATTTTACGAAAAAATATTCGTTTTTACCGATTCAAAAATCAAACTTTTAATAATTAAAGAGATTCACAACGGCAAACTAAACAGCTTTTACTCATCAAGCATGAATTTAATATCAATTTTCATAGTTTTTAAAACTGTCTATTTTTGATTGTGGTTTCATTTTAACTAATGGAAAAGTATAGGAATTATCATAATTCAAGGTTTACAATACTATAATATCTACCAAGTTATTGATCAAAAAAGGTTTTAAGAGATGTGAATCGAGACTGTCATCTTTACATGAAGGGTCACTTGAAATTTCACTTACAGTCCTTTTAAATAGGCTCAATCTTATGAAATGCTACAGTTGTTTTATTTTTTACAATTCAGTACTTTCCTCACAATATCCATCGCAGTCGAGAGATATCTAGCTGTCTGTAAACCCCACTTCCACAGGTGCAAAATAAAGGAGCTCATCACTGTCAATACAATGAATACGACTTTAGATTTTAATTCTTATTTCAAACATCATTTTACAAAGCAAATAGTTTTACTTCCTCAGTTCTTACACTGCACAATTGCTGTGTCTCACATTCATTTTATTATTTAAAGTCATAACTTGAGTCTAAAAGTCGTCTTCCTCTTCTAGTGTTTTCTAATTCTCACTGTATTATATATTCTTTTAATTTAGAGACATCAAGGGAACATTCCTTGGCAGTGCATGGATTCATTTCACTATATCTGCTGGGGTTGCTGGACTTATAAATTTACCTAAATGGTTCGAAACCACATCGGTCAGCATTTTTCTTTGCTTGTTTTTTCAAAATTTTTAATAAGACTAAACTTTTGAGAAACCGGTTTTTTATTTTTCCGCATTTGAGGTGTCATATCAATTTGACTAATGATCGATTGAACGTACATAAGCGTTGGATTAATGCTTATTAAGAGTAACAGTCAAAAGGACTTTAGTCCTCAAATGTGATAAAATATGTTTTTTTAATAACTTCATATTAACATGATTAAATGTATGTTTGTTTAATTGCTCTAAGAGACGGCAATTGTAAGCAGCTGACTTTAGGTCAATCGTATATTAGTTCTATCGATATAGCATCGTTTCTGTATTTGTCAAACGAATCTTTATTACATTGGTTGGTTTTTAGTTTGCTTTTAGTACATTGGTTGGTTTTTAGTTTGCTTTTAGTACATTGGTTGGTTTTTAGTTTGCTTTTAGTATATTGGTTGGTTTTTAGTTTGCTTTTAGTACATTGGTTGGTTTTTAGTTTGCTTTTAGTACATTGGTTGGTTTTTAGTTTGCTTTTAGTACATTGGTTGGTTTTTAGTTTGCTTTTTTCCAAACATTTTCTTTCAGGGTAAAAACTTTACAGAAGATACAGTTCAAGGTTATTAAAATCATTTTGGTTGGTTTTAAAAAAACTTTAAGTGAAACTTCGTTCGTTTTTTGCATATATTTTCTCTCTGGGTTAAAATATGGCATCTAGTGAAAGAAAAGCCAATGTTTAGAAAAAAAACAATTTTTGAATTTGTCAAACTTTTCAGATTTTCGTAAAATCTCAAAACCCTAAAATACGAAAAATTCGTCCTCGGTCCCAGTTTTAGTCCTTTTTAGTTCTAGTTCCTTACATTCTTACATCCAATTTAACCAAATCACATAAACTTCATTAGAAGAGAATCATTCATTTGGCGTACATAAGACGTACATTTGGCGTATATAAGGCATAGCCGCCTTATATACTCTGTATTTGTATTGTACAGCTTGCTCTAGCTGATTTGTAAATAAATATTTTAAATGTTTCTTATTTTGTACAAATATTCAGGTTGAGGTAAAGATCATTGACAGCACTAAGAATGCAAGTGCGAACAACACCCTACGCTGGATTACAAAACAAGTTTTCAAAATGACGGAACTGAGAGGGAACCCTGACTATATCAGGTAATAGAAAAAAGAGAGAAGAAGAGTTGACATTAGCGTTTTTAGCGAACAAAATCTTTCGCGAAAAAAATGCAAAAATATTCTTTTGACTTTCGCAAACTTTTTTGCTAAAATTAATTTTGAGAAAGAAAAGCAAAAACGATGCGTAATTTCGCGAACACAAATTTGCCCCCCAAAAAATGAGAAAATTTTGCAAAATTGCAACTCTTTTCTCGCGAAACTTTTAATTAATCAGTTTCACAAAAAAATGCATAATTTTCGCGAAACCATTGATGCAAAGTTTTTTTTCTTTCGCAAAACGATATCCCCATTTCGCTGTAAACCCAAGTCGACATTTGATAATAGAATATGTCTGGTAAGAGAAAGGTATCCGGGTATAGAGAAGAGAAAGGTATCCGGGCATAGAGAAGAAAAAAGTATATCCGGGTATAGAGAAGAGAAATGTATATCCGGGTAAAGGGAAGAGAAAAGTATATCCGAGTACAGAGAAGTGAAAAGTATATCCGGGTATAGAGAAGAGAAAGGTATCCGGGCATAGAGAAGAGAAAGTATATCCGGGTACAGACAAGAGAAAAGTATATCCGGGTACAGAGAAGAGAAAAGTATATCCGGGTACAGAGAAGAGAAAAGTATACCTGGTTACAGAAAAGAGAAAAGTATCCGGGTACAGAGAAGAGAAAAGTATCCGGGTACAGAGAGGAGAAAGGCATCCGTGTAAAGAGAAGAGAAAAGTATATCCGGGTACAGAGAAGAGAAAAGTTTATCCGGGTACAGAGAAAATGCCGCCACAATTATTCCTTGAACAATTATGACGTCTAAATATCAATGTTATTGATAACCATATACAATTGGATTTCTTTGGAATATAATTTTTTGTTCAGATTAAAGAGATAATTTGATTTCTAGAGAAACATGCTCACGTCAGCGAGAACAACAGTTTATTAAACTCAAATTTTTAAAAAGTTTGTTCTGTATAGCTTTTTAAAAAGTATCTCAATTGTTGCTTAAGAACGTTTTACTCAGATCAGACAAAGGAATTGAGTACTTGCCACAAACTATGATTTTCTAATCCTTAAATCTTTGCAACAAATTGTCGTAGACCTTAAAATTCTGCCTTGATCTGTGTCATTTACATAGATTGGAAAAAAATCTAATGCGGAACTTAAAACTTGTTTTGAAAATGTTTTGATTTTCAATTTCAAATAAAAATTTGGAAAGTCTGAAGCAAAGATACACAATTTTTCTTTTCTTAAAAAATGAGGAATCCTATAAAATTTACATTAAAAGCTTAAATTTTTAAATTTTTAAAATTCTGAGATTTCCTGACTTTGAATAAATAAATAAATAAATAAATAAATAAACATCAATAAATATGAGTCTAGATACGGAATGAATTTTCCCCGTTGGATCTTCAACATGATCGGACCCCTCATCCTTCTTAGTGTCTTCTCAGTACTTACAGGAGTCAAGCTTAGGTAAATAGAATAATAATGTAAGTACAGCTAAGGAATATTCCAAGTTACTTTTAATAATGGAGTAAGTACAACTAAGGAATATACCAAGGTACTTTTAATCATGGAGTAAGTACAAATAAGGAATATACCAAGGTACTTTTAATCATGGAGTAAGTACAAAGAAGGAATATACCAAGGTACTTTAATCATGGAGTAAGTACAAAGAAGAAATATACCAAGGTACTTTTAATAATGGAGTAAGTACAGCTAAGGAATATTCCAAGGTACTTTTAATCATGAAGTAAGTACAGATAAGGAATATACCAAGGTACTTTTAATCATGGAGTAAGTACAAAGAAGAAATATACCAAGGTACTTTAATCATGGAGTAAGTACAACTAAGAAATATACCAAGGTACTTTTAAGAATGGAGTAAGTACAACTAAAGAATATACCAAGGTACTTTTAATCATGGAGTAAGTACAACTAAGGAATATACCAAGGTACTTTTAATAATTGAGTTAGTACAAATAAGGAATATACCGAGGTACTCTTAATAATGGAGTAAGTACAGCTAAGGAATATACCTAGGTACTTTTAATAATGGAGTAAGTACAGCTAAGGAATATTCCAAGTTACTTTTAATAATGGAGTAAGTACAACTAAGGAATATACCAAGGTACTTTTAATCATGGAGTAAGTAGAGATAAGGAATATACCAAGGTACTTTTAATCATGGAGGAAGTACAAAGAAGGAATATACCAAGGTACTTAAATCTTGGAGTAAGTACAAAGAAGGAATATACCAAGGTACTTTTAATAATGGAGTAAGTACAGCTAAGAAATATACCAAGGTACTTTTAATCATGGAGAAAGCACAGATAAGGAATATACCAAGGTACTTTTAATCATGGAGTAAGTACAAAGAAGGAATATACCAAGGTACTTTAATCATGGAGTTAGTACAACTAAGGAATATACCAAGGTAATTTAATAATGGAGTAAGTACAACTAAGGAATATACCAATGTACTTTTAATCATGGAGTTAGTACAAATATGGAATATAGCAATGTTCTTTTAATCATGGAGTAAGTACAAATAAGGAATATACCAAGGTACTTTTAATCATGGAGTAAGTACAACTAAAAAGCGGCTGTAGGATTTAATGCAAATAGACAGAAAGAGAAGGTTTCATGTTTGCTATATTGCTGGCACGACTTTGTTACCTCGTGGAATCTCTAGAGTTGATTTTATGCATGATTAAATCAAATCTATTTAGTTACAAATTATAAATTCAAAACATTTTTCTTCTTCTAAAGAGCGCTTTAATTAAAGCAGTTATGATCTACAGAGCGCTTTAATTAAAGCAGTTATGATCTAAAGAGCGCTTTAATTTAAGCAGTTATGATCTAAAGAGCGCTTTAATTAAAGGAGTTATGATCAAAAACATATAAAATTTCAATCTTGCGGATGTTTCTAAGTAAATTGGCGGATATTTAATATAATTAAAATGATTATCAACATTTATAATATATAAATTGAAACCCCATACTCTAGTAATCATGCTTAGAATATCAAACTTCAAGTTATTTATTTTAGGAACATCCTCATCATCGCTGAATGCTTTGTGAACATCGAGTAAGTTTTAATCTCAAAATTTTAAAAAAATGTAATACTTTTAAAAATACAATTTTTTAAATTTTCAGATCTCCTCCGGACTGGTTTATCAGCCTCATGAGGTCAGAGTCTAAACTTTAAAAAAACATGCTTTGCCAAAAAAAAACCTTGTTTTAAAACAGTTTTTTTTATAGTTTTGAACGATTTCAGTTTAATTCCATAATGTAATGAAATTAATTGAAATTAAATTTTGATCCCTTGAAAAGGATTTGCAGCATGCACTCTTAACATTTTATATTTAAATAACTGAATATCAAGACTTTGAAAAAGCATGAAATTGCGTAGTTGAGAAACAAGACGCATAAAGTCTCAAAATGTTTCCATCTGATATCATATTAAAATTTAAAAATATTGTAAAATTTAATTAAAATAAATTATTAAAGTTAAAAACTTATATTTACTGAGTTTGAGCGCAAAGTCGACGTTCAAAATGTAAAAAAATGTAAACAAAATTCTACAGTAAACTAATTAGTTGTTTAAGGATAGGTTGAGAAAATAAAAATTAACTCTTTTCATCGAAAATAAGTAATCTTATTCAATTATTAGTTTCAATAATCTCTCATTTTTTACAAAGATTTTTTGCAGATTTTTGGAAATTTTATTGAATAGGCAACTTTTGAAGAATTTGTAGAAATCTGCGAATAAATTCATTCAAAAAAGAAATTTAATATAATGATGAAAACGAAATAATTGATTCTAACATTAAATTATTGACAAATAATTTAGAAATATGTTCCTAACATCTCATTAGTTTACTATTGAATTGTTACTATGATTTTTGTCGTCATAATTTAACAATTGAAAAAAATAATTCTAAAAACATACCCACCCAAATTTATGATTTTGAACGCCGAATTTGCGCTCAAACTCGTTATTTACAGATTTTTAAAAATTTTAATATGTCACAAATGAATCTTTAACAAATTTCTACAATATTCATTTTCAGTTCAACCACCATACGTTGCCGGTCACTCCCTTTAAACGTAAATCGTTTTGAATCGAAGGGTCACTTAATATTACGTTTACAGTCCCTTTACCAGCTGTTCATATTCTAGTGTGAACAACCTGCTTCAAATCCTGAACACGAACATGAACTTCTGGTTCTATGCAGGAATGAACAAGAACTTCCGAACAGGACTCAGATCTCTCCTCTCAAGGTAAATAAATAATAAAATTAAACGGACTTTACAGTTTTGTCAATAAATAAAAGCACTGAGTTTTTGCCACAAACTCAATTTTGTTTTAATATCCAATGAACCTGATAGTGTAAACATTTGATATTTCGAAGGAGTTAAAAAATTTGAGTTTACTGAAAAAAAAATATATTTTCTTCAATGCAGTAAAAATATTGTAAATTTTTAGTCAAGAGGGTAAAAATAGCAATATTTGGCCCAATACCATTAATACAATGTAATTTTGGCCAAATGTGAAAAATATATTTGGTTCGATATTGTAAATATTATAATTTGGGCTCAATAAGGTTAAACCAATAGTAATTTTGGCTAAAGGTTTTTAAAATAATGTTTCCTCAAGCTCAATGTGGTAAAAATAATATTTTTTTAGATTTACAGTGGTATCTTCGGAGCTGGGCGCTGCAGTGGAGGTTTAAAAACATTCTTTCATCAAACATTTTAATTAAAAAAAGAGAAGAAATAAGAATCTTACTCTTTCTGTTGTCCAAATGTTGTACGCGAAATATATTGTCATTTTTATGACGAAAAATAGTTACTTGTAAAGCCATTGCACGTCAAATAACGTAAATTGCACCTCAAATAAAGTAAATTGCACGTCAAATAAAGTAAATTGCACGTGAAAGTAAAAGCTATTATATGGCATTCTAAGAAAAGGTATTGAGAAGAACTAAAAATATTTGATTGTGTTTTTCTCATATCTATAATCTTAAAATGAAAACTTGAGGATCTACGAGGTCTCAAGATCGTAGTTAACTCTGTTTAATGCCCGCTTTAAACATAATTATAGATTGCCTAGCTACAACTTTGATACCGAAAATATTCGCGGATTTCTAGAGCACAGACAAGCAAAAACGTGGCCGAAAAAAGTTGTTTAAAAAGCCATTAATAAGCAAAGATTAATGTCTATCTAAAGAAAAGTGTTTTTGCACCCTATATTGTAAAATATGTTTATTCATTTAAAAAATTAAAGATAAAATTTATAATAATATAAAAGTTATATTATTATAGATGATTATTTTTATTTTATTTATATCTCATCATATTCATTTTTCTAAATTCTCAAGTGACGTCTGAAGATGTTAAAGACTGGAGTAATGACATCAAAGTAATTAAGAATTATGAGAATTAACTCCGTCCAATTAAAGGTTGGACACCTAATGAGAATAATCTTTACAAAATCAAAATTTTTCTAATTATTCAAAAATTATATTTTCTAAACAAAAATTTGATTAATTTTACAAAAACCTGATTGAACCCACCTCATTAATGAATGTACTTTGTAAAAAACGTTTTTTTTAAAATGTGAAAATTGTGTAATGATAGTCGTCAACGATCAGTATTTTAGATATAACCTTAAAAAACTATTTTTTGAAAAGAAGCAGAGAAATTGATTATATGCCTTGACCATTTCAAACCAGGCGTTGATTTTAAAAGCATGGAATGTATACATGTCGTCATTATGGAATTTTCCTTTTGAATCAGAATTTAATCAGTTCTCCTTGAAAGGAAAGATAATTAAAAACATGAAAAAAATGTAAAATTACGCATTTTTGAAGTTTTCCTTTTATGTTTTCTTTAACTGAAGATTTGCAAGTATTAATGTATAAATGTTGCTTTTTATTCCTAGAAAACTAAATAGCTGTTAAAATTAGTTTTAGATTTAGTATAGAAAGTGGTTTTTAGCTTGTTAAAGTTATAAAGAAGTTAAAAATAGTTTAAGTTAGTTAAAGTCAGAAAGTTTTTAGGAGCATTTTTAGTTAGTTAAAGTTATGACAGTAGTAAGAGCTAGAGGTTTCAGTTAGTTAAAGTTAGACAGTAGTAAGACCTAGAGGTTTCAGTTAGTTCAAGTTAGACAGTAGTATGAGCTAGAGGTTTCAGTTAGTTAAAGTTAGACAGTAGTAAGAGCTAGAGGTTTCAGTTAGTTAAAGTTAGACAGTAGTAAGAGCTAGAGGTTTCAGTTATTTAAAATTAGACAGTAGTAAGAGCTAGAGGTTTCAGTTAGTTAAAGTTAAAAAGTAGCTAGGCTAGGTTTCAGTTAGCTAAAGTTAGATGGTAGCTTGGCTAGGTTTCAGTTAGTTAAAGTTAAAAAGTAGCTAGGCTAGGTTTCAGTTAGCTAAAGTTAGATGGTAGCTTGGCTAGGTTTCAGTTAGTTAAAGTTAGAAAGAAACGTGGTTTAAGCCGTTTGGTTTCTAGTTAGAAATTTCTAACAATATAAAAAAATTATTTTTACAAAAAATGTTTTTAACAAAACATATAAAATATATTTTTAAAATAATTTCACGTTTCTCTGTTTCTTGAATTTGTAGTAAAAAAATATTTACCCTGAGCTGAAAATTTTAGAATGAGATATCCTTAATCCCGATTAATTAATCTGATTATCCAATGGACACACTTTTAATTTTCTTCTTAATCCTTTCTTTTTGGATAAAAGTTACTTTTGAAACAATTACTGCAGATACGATGCTATATCGATTGGACAAATATCCGATTGAACTAAAGTCAGCTGTTCACAAGCTGACTTTTAGAGCATTTAAACAAATTTAAATTTAGTTTTAATCATGTTAATATGAACTTATTAAAAAACATATTTTATCACATTTAATGACTATAGTCAGTTTGAACGTTAGTCTTAATTAGCATTAATCAAAAGAATACATTCGTTCAATCGATCTTTAGTTCAATTAATATGACACAATCAACACCAGAAATGCGCAAAAAATAAAAATCGGGTTTTCAAAAGTTAAAGACATGCTAATTGGTTGAAATTTTAAACTTCTCTTTTGGATATCGAATGCCTATTGAGTATTGACCTAATCTCGGGTTTTGTATAACATAGAGATCAAGCATTGATCTCGATATCCACCATTCTAAAGTTTTCTTCTCTGTATATGTTTTACATGTGCATTTTATAATAAATAAACTATAAAAATATTTGTATATTATAGGGAAAGATATAACGTAGAGTCTATAGTAACTTATGAATTGAATGGAATAGAACGTATGTTAACGGAATTTAAAAGGGATCTAGAAGGATAAATTGGGATGAAGGAGGATATGGATTGGGATGGAGGAGGATGGATTGGTATGGAGCAGAATAAAATTGTAAAGAAGGAAAATAGATTGGGATTGAGGGGGATGGATTGGGATGGAGGAGTATAAATTGTAATGAAGGAGGATGGATTCGAATAGACGAGAAGGGATTGGAATGCAATTAGGAGGATGAATCGGGATGGAGGAGGATGGATTGGGATGGAGGAGGATGGATTGGAATTTAAGAGGATGGATTGGGATGGATTGGGATGGAGGAGGATGGATTGGGATGGAGGAGGATGGATTGGAATGCAAGAGGCTGGATTGGGATGGAGGAGGATGGATTAGGATGGAGGAGGCTGGATTGAAATGAATGAGGCTGGACTGGGATGGAGGAGGTGGATTGAAATAAAAGAGGCTGGATTGGGATGGAGGAGGGGGATTGGAATGTAAGAGGCTGGATTGGGATGGAGGAGGATGGATTGGGATGGACAAGGCTGGATTGGGTGGGAGGAGGCTGGATTGGAATGTAAGAAGATGGATCGGGATGGAGGAGGATGGATTGGGATGGAGGAGGCTTGATTGGGATGTAGGAGGCTGGATTGAAATGTAAGAGGCTGGATTGGGATGGAGGAGGGTGTATTGGGTTAAAGGAAATTTTCTTCTTCAAAGAAATCATCTATAAAAAACCCTATTCTATGATTCTGAAAAATTCTTATTTAGAAAATAAATATTCTATTATAGTAAGATTTTCCTTCAATTATTTCAAGAGTAAGAAAATTGATTTAATACCAACTTTGATAGACTGAGGCTAGACAGCAGGAAAAATACAAAAGATTTAAGAAACATTTATGTTTTATAAACAATTTACTAAAATACCGAAAAGTCCAAAAAGTTCAAAAAAGATTAAGTTCTAAATTGGTAAATTTCTTTTAACAATATTAAAAGAGTAAAAAAAAACTTTAATGAGATTATACCTAGAATCGGCTTACCCAAAAAAGAGATAATTTATGAATAAAATCCCCAAGACAAGCTTAGTCGTTCATAAACACAGTTAACACTTACACATTATTCAAAATGTCCTCCATTCCTTTAGAGACATTAAACTTGGGTTTCCAATTTTTCCCAGATTAATTTGGTTCCGTAACCTTTACTGAGCTGGAAACTTTTGAATGGGATATCCTTAATCCCGATCGGTTAATTAACCTGGAGATTAATAACAAGAGGAGAACAAGCATTATTTATTCTGGAAATTAAGAAAAAGAGGAGATCAAGCATTAATCTCGATATCCACCATTCTAAAATTTTCAGCTCTGAACTGTTAGGAATGATAACTATTTAAAACTGTGGAAAAATAACCGTGAAACCTGTTTTTTACCGAATCTTAAATAAATTATGCTGAAAAATGTTTACGGGATGATTAGTCCAAATGGAATTGATCCAGAATAATTGTCTCGCAAACTTTTTTCAGAAAGTCCAAACCTAAAGCTCTGTGGAGCATCTAATATCGGTTTAGAAAGGTTCCAACGTCAATTTCCAACAGCTTTTACTGATTCATTATTTTTAAAAGCTTGAGAAAGGTTCCGTAAGGCGTTAACGGAACCAAATTGATCCGGGAAATTTAAAAACCCTACATTTCACCGGTCTTAAGCCTTGCTAGAACTAAAATTGCGAGTTCATCAAATACAATTTGCGGGGTTTTCTCATTAGGTGCTCTTGAGTCTTGATCTTAATCAATTTTGGATTTGACAGAAATAGTCAATAAGAGCATTTTCTTTTCTATACTTCTGATTTTAAAAAGAAAAAGATTTAATGGATTTTTTTTAAATATACAAAATATCTTTTTATTCTGTTGTCTTGTGATATAATGCGGGACAATATGTTATTTAGCTGGACGTGGGTCTATTTGTATCCAATCCAGTGGCCGAATTTTAAGAATTTGAGCGGCGGTTTAAATTTAAGCCGCGGCTTAAATATGGTTGGTTCCACTTAAAATTTTATCAAATGTTTCAAGATTTAAGCCGGCCCTTGATTTAAACCGGGTTTTGCCAGATTTAAACCGCGGCTCAAATTCTTTAAATTCCATCTCGGGACAAATTTTTGTGAAGGACTCCACATGACCGGTCCAAGGAAGGTTTATGGATGATCAAAATTTCAAAAATTAGCCTCCAGGAAAATTCGATTTTCGTTAAAGTTTGACAATCCACGATTTTTTTACAAAATCATCGAACTTATTTTATCGTTTTACAATTTATACAAATAATTACAAGTTGAAAACGAAGTGCCTTGAAAGCCTAGTTAAGGTAAATTTAAGGTTAGCTTAAAATTTACATGTTTTCAATCAGAACTCCTGATTTTTAAGAGCTATTGAGAAAAAAATATTAATCCTTAAAAATTTGCTTTTTAATACTTTGGCTGAAAATCAAAATTAGAAGATGTTACGAGGTCAAAAATTCGTATCATTGATTTCGACGAAATTTGACCTTTTCCTTAGGACTAGATTGCGCTGGAGTGCTTTATGTGCTAATGCAAACTTTATAGTTCCATGTCAGAAAATACAAAATATTCTATAAAAAAAAAATATCGTTATTTGATTGGCTAAGAGAAATCAATGTTCTTTCATGTTGTATGATTCCCAAAGTACAGCTTATCAAGATATAAAAGATATATATTTATTTACTACCCAGAGTCAGACGGGGAGGGGGTGGGGAAAGGGGGGCAATGATTACTGAAGCAGCAGAAAAACTCATAATCAACAATAATTTGTTCTTAAAAATATTCCAACTGTTGAATTGTAATTTCAATCCAAGGAAGGGCATGTCTGATTCACAACGGTAATCTTGAAATCTTTGATCTGATTAATGGAAGATGTTTTGATAACATGTTTAATTCTGAGTTCTGACAGTTCCTTCTTTTTCTGCAACAGAAATGCACAAGTATATTTTGCCACGATGGAAAATAATCAGTTTTAAAAAGAAAAAACATGGCTATATATCAAATAGATTATCAAGTAAAATAGAAAATCAAGTAAAATACACTCTACCTGGATAGGCTGAACAGGCCTATAGTGTCCCGACACGCCATGCTACGGTTCCATGTAATGTTTTTTGACTGACATCTCACGGTCATGTTTGTTGCATTCAGGGGTTAAGTTTTACAAGTTTTAAAGAAATACTTCAATTTTAAACATAAAACGTAACGTTTATGAATATTGTCTATTTTTAAAGATTTTGCATATCCTATTCAAAGGATCCTTAAATATCTCTGAATACAGATGTCTCCTAATTGGTCGTGTACAGTCCTTGTACACAATAGAACCTCCTGTGGAAAATATCGCGTATTATAGGTGTTAATCGATCTCTGTAACTCTCTTATCTCTGATGGCAACAGAAAAATGAACCAATTATACACGACGCGACGTCACATAGTGTCAAATATAACAAGGAAAAGAAACTTTCTCACATTAGTTGACATGTTTTCTAAGATTAAATAAAAAAATGTAAAAACAGAAAATAAAGAACTCATAAAATTGCACTTAAGATAAGATATAGTTTACTGCTAATGATACACATGCAAGTTTTAATGTTACAGGCAAAAAATCTGCAAATATTTTTATATTTTTTACTATATTTATGTAATTATAGCAATTAGGTGGAGATTTGCAAGTTTACAAGTAATAGACAGCTTCTCTTTGTTACCATGATTATGTGTATTGCAATGCTGTTTAAAAGCTTTGTAGATATCAAAAATTTAATTTCGAAAGTCGTCTTCATTGTATTGATATATACAATTCGACGAATGTAAATCTGTTCAAAATTTTAAAGACAAAGCTAGAAACGAATGAGTATTGAGTAACGCTCAAAAACTGAATTTTTGATGAGTTTCAACCACAGAAAATTTTTAAATGCGCGTTGAAAAAAAGTTTTTAAATAGTCATCCATTTTTTATTTTTTTATTTACAAAATAAACTAATTCTGGTCTTCTCCGTTCCGTTCCAATAATTGTAAGAACGCATTCTTTGCGTTCCGTTCTATTTTTGGAACGATGGGATCATTCTTGATAGTTCCGTTCGTTCTTGTGAAAGAACGATTGTTCTTCAAGAACAGAGGTCAGCCCTACTTTCTCTAGTAAAACTAATCATTTGAAGAATTTATTACATACAACTTTAATACAAGTTTTCTAAAATACTGATTCTAAAATCTAAGTAAAAGATTCATTAAGTTTCCAATTATATATTTGAGATAGTGCAGCGTGCCAAAAGGTTTAATTCTTTAATCTTAATTTCACAGAAATTAATCAATTATCTTTTCAATTTTAAAAGTTGGGTTGGAAATGATGTCGATTACTATATTCTTGTAATTATATTTTTGGAAATATTAATTACAAATTATTTAAACCATACATATATTAAAACCAATATTATTATTAAAAAATTTAAAGGGACCGTTCACTTATTTGGGTAAATTAAACAGCCTATTAGCTGTTACTTGGTATTAGTCTTACTTTTAATAGACAACTGTGGCCGGAGAAAAAGCTGATTTTTCGTTCAGAATTCGAGCGAAAAGGGACGGTCCTTTGTCTGAAACACTATACTAGAAGTTTTTCAGCAGCAACAGCCCAAAAAAATTAAATTTATCATATTTTGATGTTATTATGTTTAAGGTAATATATACTAAAATATAAAAGCTTTTGATATTTGAGTTAGCAATAAATTCACGTTTTTCGCATTAAAACGTGTGTAAAATGTTCTCAACTACAATCAATTAATCATTACGCAATTTTGGTTTGTAGATTCAACTTCGCCCTCAATGTAAAACAAATTTATTGCAATGATGCATTAATGTGAGTAATCTTTAAAACTTTCGGAGCTGGATGGGAGAACCGGTCTCTCATAGAGTAATAAAACGAAGAGGTAAAGCTAACCTCATTATTAATTAATTAATAGAGTGCTCGGTTGTGTACATCACGATATGTTTACGCCTTGTTTATGCCTTGTGTTTACGTATCTAGCACTGTACACTTGTAAAGAGTGTGATCGTATTTTTAAGGGGGGTTTTATGAAATTGACAAATTTTTAGATTTTCTTTCTTTATTTAAAGAGAATTCAAGAATGTTGACTGTAAACATTTGACAATTTTCAAATTTTTTTGGGGTAATTTTGGGCTAAATCTTATTAGCTATTGATTAGCGTTGGTCTTATTTTTCAAGGACAACATGTGGTCGGAGAAAAGCCGATTTTTGTTCAGAATTCGAGCGCAAAGGGACGGTCCCTTTAGAACGATACATGTTTCTTTAAAGCAAAGCAGTGGAAAGCAGTGGAAAGCAAAAGAAAGCAATGGAAAGCAAAGCAAAGATAGAGTTTCCGTTGCACTCCAAACTAAATAGATATGAATATTAGACACAGAACAATATAGGCAGATTAAACGAACTTTTTTTTAATGTGTCGTATGGAAAGAAATTGAGTCTTGCCAAAAACTCAAATTTTCTAGTCCCTATATCTTTGCAGTCTGTGGCAAAGACTTATTTTCTTTAGCCAATCATGGAGCGGAATAAATCCCAAAACAGTCCGGCAATAGGTTTGGGCTGGTAGGAATTTAGAAAAGCATTTCCCATTCCTGACACTCCTAGATTGTACACATCCTACTTTTGAGTATTAATAATCGACATCATAGACTCCATCTGAAAAAGAGTTGATTGATATGGTGCAAGCTGTACATGACATTTTTCTGGGTAACCCTCATGTTTAATTTTATTATATAAAAAAATTGCAAAAATAAAACTACGCAAAAACATGAAAAATTATATATTTTTATATACAGTATACATTTTTGAAAATCCCTTGACCAAATTCAATTAAACGTCGTAGTTGTATGCTCTGCGCTAGGTGCATCAATACATGCGATTTTTTAAGAAGCATTTTCACGAAAAAATATGATAAAACAATAATGACGAAAACCCCTTTTAATGATATCTTCTTAAAAATAACTGAAGAGTTAAGACATTATTTAATTTGAATAGTTAAATTTACAATTAAATACACTTCTTACCATTTGCCATTAAACCTCACCCTGGATCAACCAGAGTGAGCAGCATTCGGTTTTTTCTATTTGAAATCAAACTTGTTTTGGTCTATAATTCAACAATCTTATACCTTACAGATTTGTTTATCTTATACTTTTCCATTCAAAATGTATATGCCGACAAAAGAGTATCAAAGAGAAAAGGCTAAAAAAATTATGTTTAATGGGTCAAATTTTGATCGAAAGTCACAGCTTTTTGGAATATTGACAGAACCGTTAAATCCACGTGACCTGCGTGTCTGAATAAAAAAAGATGGAGATATGGTTTTATTTGCTTTAATAATTTATAATTGAAATTAATTTCTGCACAGTCCCTTTAAAAAATCTAATTTGAAATGGTTACCTGTGGAATGGATTGTGTAAGTTGTTCTTCATATTTCTTCAGCTTACGATCCAGCAAAGAGCTAAATAATACATAATGTAACAGCTTAGCAGCTCAAATTCTCGGCATCTAATCCGTAGAATTTTAAAAACAAAACAAAAATTTCGAATTTATAAAAAAATAATTTTAAATACAAAAATTTTAATTTTAGTTTAAAAAAAGATTTTTTAGTCTATTCCCGAGGGTACCAACTACCAATGGGTTCCCTAAAGTTTTTTTTAGACAAATTGGTCCATCTGTTTGGCCAGGTACGGGCCTATGGCTAACGTAATATATATAATATATACAGGGTGTCCCAAAAAACATGGGAATTCAGTTACGAATTGGATATCTTCTTTGTTATGAATTAGCATTTGTAATACCTAATTTCAAAAGTCATAATATTATTATGTCTGCTAGAGTTTATTTTATAAAAAGGGTAAAAGACTATAAAGATGTGTCTATAATGTCTCCGCAAGATGAAGACTGAAGACGGACAAGTTTACTCTGTTTGTATTCTGCAATTTTCTTGTTTTACTAAGTAAAACCGTATGCAGTCAAAACATAAACAAACAAAATGTGAACATAGCAGACGAAACTCTCAGAGATTACAGATTTCTCAGTAGGTATCACTACCCTAAATCAAAGAATTATTTAAAAAGACGATATCGATTTCGTCACTTAATTCCCATGTTTATTGGGACACCCTGTATATAATGTATATATATAATATATTTATTGTTGAGTTCCAAGTTTCACAAAAGTGCTCGATACCTGATGAGATCCAAGTAGAGGCTGTTTATATCAGTTGAAACGCAACAATCTTCTTATAACATTTTATTCATAAACAAATTGTTTCATGCTTTTATGCAATCATCAGTATGAATTGTTTGAGAATTTTTTACAGATGTTTCGCGGATTTTTACGAGATGTTAAATTAATTTTCAAATTAATGTTACATATAGATACATACAATAAAACGAACAAGATGTTAAAAAAAACCATACTTTATCACNCCGGACTCCTCAATCAGGGAAGCTTAGGGGAGGGCCTTGTTTAAGTGTAAGAAAAGACTGGCAAATCTTTCCACTAATTTACGCGTGGGTTTGAGTATTTAGATAGATATAGATCCTACCGCGCGAAGTTGCAATTGTCGTCAGCAATCCATGGGATCGAATTTAAAAAATTTGCGCGACTTGTCTGAACTTCCTGCTGCCGGTTCAAATTGAAACCACCGATTCAAAGTTAAAGGTTCCTGAATGGATTAGACGGCTACAGGGCAGTTGAAACAGGGGTTGCTGGAATATCACAGATTAAGAATTTATAAGACATCAACGCCTGTCAAAAGTGTATTAACAAATATTTTGAGGCTTTCTTTCACCCAATTCAGCTCAGTCAATTTTTAAACTTAAAACGGATATCGTGTTTCTTTTATACAATAATTATATAGCAGAAAATAGTTAAACCGCGCCAAGAAAATTTAAAAAAATTATTACATCCTTTATTTTTCAAAATACTTACTTATCTAAGGTTTTAGATTAGTTTTTTTTAATATTTAAATAAAGCTAAAAATTTGACCTCCTATCTCTGCAAACAAGGATAATGGAGTATACAGCAGACTTTCCTCATTCACTACAGTTCGGGATTGGAAATAGAAATAGACCTAAAAAATAAATGAAATGCAACTACATTGATGTGATATAAAAATAAAAATATAAAAATGTTGTCTAAAAAATATTTAATTTTAGAAAACCCAATTAATGTAATAGGACTAATATGCACAATTTTTAGTATTAAGATTAGGGTTACCAAGTACACAGAAAAAGGGAAATCGTTTTGCGCAAATTTCGCATTTTTCGCGAAAAAAATATTTCGCCAAAAATTTCACACTTTTTCGCATATCGTTCGCTCTCGAAAAAATGCGAAATTTTGCGAAAAAGTTTGCAAAATATGTACGAAAATTTTCCCATTTTTTCGAAAAGTTTTCGTCCGCTGGAAACCCTCAAGAAAATGTACGAAAAAAACAGATGGTGACCTAAAAAATAAAGTGTTAAAGCCAAGATTGTTACAAGAAAGCAAAGGGCCCCGAAAGATTAGTTGTATTTATTTTTCAAATCAAAGTAAAAGAAATAAAAGATTTATTTTTGTTAAGTAAAGCAATGGAGAAGAAAGTTAACCCTATCTCTGCTGGGGTACTTGAATCCCCCCCCCCCCAGCAGGAATAGAGTTAAGAAATGAATATTTAATTTCTCACCTGAGACTTGTTATCAGAGGTTAGAGCCCTGTTTTGTCCTCCAAGGGATAGAAGAAGAAATTCACATGGATTAGGACAATCTCCAGCCTTCATAATATTTTTAAACACATTTTTAACAAAAAACAAGAATACATAAGTTTTATTTTAAATCTTGTTGTTATTTAAAATAATGAAACAAAAGGAATTGAGTCTTTGTCACAAACTCAGATTTTCTAATCCCTACATTTTTTAACTCAACGTCATAGAACTTTGAAATTTCAAACTTTAAATTGTGTTTGAGTTTTTGATTAAATCAAAAATGTATAGAGAGTGTCTCACTAAACATGTGAAATTACATTTAAGTAGAGAATGACATTTTTATCTTTTTAAATAAATAAATTGCATAATCAACCCTGTACTGACCTGGTTTGTGATTCGATCATAATGTGTTTGAAACGCCAGATCTCTGTCCGATTCTTTTCGGCAAATATTTGTATTTTCAGGAACATAGGGTACAGTGCAGCCAGTACTGGTCACCTCTTTCATTTTCTTAGAAAAAAAAATGTAAAAGATGAAGAATTTTATGAATTTAAATTTAAATATAGGGTCTGTCATTTGAAATCAGCCACCCCCTAGTAGGCACCATCTTCGATTTTTTTCAAAGTTAAATATTAAAAGACCTATGTGAAACATTAAATGATTAGTAATTTTTAGACTCTGTTGACCTCTGTGCGCAGAGCACTGAGGCCATCAAATTTTGACCTTTGAGTTTGCTCTTTTGAAATTATCATAATTTTTTGCTTTTTGAGATATCGAACTAATTGTAAGGCTTTATTTGTTGGTTCATAAAATAATCGATAACATTAATTTTTGAAACTCGTGTCTCAAAAAAAAGACATCGTATACTTCCTTGTTTTATTTATGTTGAGAATACTGAATAAAAATTTCATGCATGAGAAAATATTGGCTTAGAAGTTATGCTCGTGTTTGTGAGCATAATTCGCCGATTTTCAGTGATTTCTGCCAAACCAGCAGATATAAATAGCTTGCTCAATATGTGATATAAGACATGCGTTTATGAAATATGATCTGGATCATAAAACTGAGCTAGGACTTTCGCCGACTTCAAGCAAGTCGGTTGGGGGAATATGCTGCAGAAGGAAAGGGGAGCAGGATGCCATGTAAATTGCCTTAGATATTTTATTGTTTTTTTTTTCTCATGCTAAAATTTGATATTTTTTCTTCAAATATAGAAGAAACAGGAGGAATTAGTTAAGTCGACGGATGCCTAAGTTTCCGTTGCATAAATACTTTTATGAAAACCTTCCAGCTTCCTTCCAGGATATGTTTAATTCTTTAGCTGAACCAAATAGAACAAAATCATATAAACTTGAACGGGTTCTCTTTAAAACCCTAGAATGTTTTCCCTCTGCCTTATTTCCAAAAATATGGAATTCGATTGAATTAGAGCTTAAAGAAACTAAATCTGCAAAATCGTTTAAAAGAAAAGTCGCCAAGATCTATTTAGATAGTTATGCAAATTATATCTGTAAAAAAAAAATTGTGTATCATGTGGATAAACTTAGTCTTTACTATCTTCTTCACCCTCTAGTTCATAAACATGATTCTAATAACTTATGTTACCCTCTGTTCCAACCCTTATGCTGAGTATCCTCCCTTTTCTTTATACTCCCTCACCTCCTCCTTACCATTTACCTGATTTATTATCATTCTTATGTTTAAAATGTACAATGTACATTGTTTTTATCTGCAATTCTCATTCGTTTATAGTGGGCCAACCAATTAAAACAACCTACTCTGGTTAGGCGGGTCCAAACTACATAGTAAATTGTGATTTTTTTATTTGTATTATCTCGTGCTTTGTAGTTGAATAAAATATGAAATGAATTGAAATGAAAGGTTCCCTTGGTCTGACCGGGTAGTCCTTTTTAATATACCTTGGTTAGGATGTTATATATACACTGATCATACTCAACAATACCACTGCATTTAAATCCCTTAAAACCAGCTGTTTCCAATATGTTAAATCTACTGAAGAAATAAAATAGTCCTTTAAAGAAATATCGTTTTTAAGTTCGTTGAAACGAACAAGTAATTTAGGTGTTTGGTACTTTCCCACAGGCACTTTCCCAAGGACGACTTCCCAATTGGTAACTTCCCAAATGTGCGATTTCCCAAGCGGCAATTTTCCAAAGGTTTATAGGTTAGGCCCTCTGAGGCTCCGATGGCTGCAATGGGGGCTGAGCGCTGCGGCTAGGATGGGATAGGAAACCGAGCGCGCTAGAACATGTTGAGGGGCCGAGCGCTGCAGCTAGGACAGACTTGGGAAGTTGCCGCTTAGGAAAAATCCTTTAAGAAAGCTCCTAACATCGTAAACTTAATTTATAAATATTCAAATTAATTTGGATCAGGTTTCCTTCTGGACTGTTTTTGTATGTTCGTCTAACATCTCAACATGAAGCCAACTCACCTAGTCAGAATATTAAGCACGTAGTCAGAAATTTTACATTTACTATAAATACTGGTACTGGGATAAAATTAAAATGGTGGTCATATATATTGTTTCACGTTAACAGACCAATCTACTTTCAAAATTTAGAAAGACTTATTTTTGCATACATAAAGTTTAATTTAAAAATTCTCTTGTTAAAATCTTTTTAGAAAGTTAGTTTGTATTTATAAATCTGCAAACAAAAATGAAAATAAATACAAAATGCTGCTTGGAGATTTAAATAAAGTAAAAATTATTTTTTTAAATAATGAATTTAGAATTTTATTAGAGTCATGGAAGTTCGTAGTAAGATTTTGACTCCACTGCAGACCACCGGAGGGAATTAGGAGGGATATCTGAATCCCTCCAGTGAAATTATAAACCCCCTGGATAGATATCAAATCACCATCAAATTGAAAAAAGTGAAAAGTAGAATCGAAATCTTACTACAAACTTCTTTGAGCCAATTTAGAAGTCTTTTTATTGAACTAATTAAGTATTTTAACTAATCCTATTTATAAGCAAACATAAACGTAAATTAAAAAAACAGTTTTTGTACATTTTCCTGCATTTTTTTAAAATGAAAAAAAGTTTCTTAGAATTTCTGGTGATATTTTTCAATATACCTTTTTACCTCATCAAGGGAGAGTAGGCGTAATTTCAAGTAACCCTCCGTGCAAAGATGGCAATGAAGGATTTACAAGGGGTCAGTTCCCTTCAAATCTTTGTATGTTTGTTGAGTACTGAGTGTTTGTTTAAACTGATTAAAACCCGCTGAAAAGTCAAGCTTGCACTTTCTTGAGTTTAAACTCAACACAGCGCATATTGGAAATTGCAGCAATGAATTCAAAAGGGTTTCAATAAGTTTGCACACGACGACAAACAAACACATGTTTGTTAATTGGACATAGCCTTCTTTGCAAAGAAGTTTATTTTAAATTACGCTTACAGTCACTTTAAACATTTATTAAAGAATAATAATTACAACGGCAAGCCATGTATATAAACCATCATGTAATCAAAAATCTTTTTTTTTAAAGGGACCGTAAAGGAAAAATGAAAGGGGATATTGGCTGACACCTTGAACGATTCCTATAAAACATCTATCTGATGTTCCTGTCTCGAGAAATTGACATAAAACTGTTTCAATAAACTAAAATTCATATATGTGCAATTTGGTATAAAAGTTGTAGTATTAAACAGATCATATTCAACAAATAAGCAACCAATCTGAAAACGACGAAATAATACTAGTATTTGAATAATTTGAAGTTTAATATTGGTTTGACCTGCACCTGAATACTAGTATTTGTTTAGATTGAAGTTTAATATTGGTTTGACCTGCATCTGAATACTAGTATTTGTATAGATTGAAGTTTAGTATTGGTTTGACCTGCATCTGAATACTAGTATTTGTATAGATTGAAGTTTAGTATTGGTTTGACCTGCATCTGAATACTAGTATTTGTATAGATTGAAGTTTAGTATTGGTTTGACCTGCATCTGAATACTAGTATTTGTATAGATTGAAGTTTAATATTGGTTTGACCTGCATCTGAATACTAGTATTTGTATAGATTGAAGTTTAGTATTGGTTTGACCTGCATCTGAATACTAGTATTTGTATAGATTGTAATTCCCATCCGTCCTGACAGATCCAGAAACTGTCCTCTGTGGTGCAAATATATCTTCAAATCAACTTTCCTAGATGAAAACTAGTTTTTAAAGGGACTGGTGACGTAATTATGTTAATAAACATATTGATCGAAAACTTACGTTCGTTCAATTGATCCTTAGTTCAAATGATATGACACCATCAACACCAGAAATGCGCAAAAATTAAAAACCGGGTTTTCAAAAGTTAAAGAGCGCATCACTAATCTCTAGAAATAAACCTAAAGACTAAATTAGTCTTTATATTAGCAAAAAGAGAGGATCAAACATTGATCTCCATTATGTTTGATCACACCTCCTGAACCTCTGAACCGTTTGCCTAAAATTCAGATTGAGGAATTTGGTAGAACCACGGGAATGTTCTAAGCTTGGTTTAAAGATTCTAAGTTGAGTAAGTTGACTTGTATAACTCGGTAGAACCAACGGAATGCTTTTAGCTTAGTTAACATCATTGTTTCAACTTTTTGGCCTAAGTTTGCTTAAGTTGGTTATTTAAAACCAATAGAGATTGCAACGCGGGCAGAATCTATCTATATATCTATTCAAATCTTAAAATCAAATTAGAGATCTACATGTAAATTAACGGCAAAAACTTACATGGAAATCTTAACTTATATTGAAACAAGAGTGGATCTATTGAATCATGGCCGGGAATGCCTTAAGCTTGGTATAATAGTTCTAAGTTGTTCTAAGCCAAGTTCAATTTTCTGAGACTGGCGCTCTCCACTAATTTTTCCCCCAATTTTTAATTTGATGATCAATGATTGATCCCTCAGTTAAAGTTGTCCCAGCAGTGTTTTATTTATATCATCATGGGATATCAAAGAGAAAATTTATCCGTAGAATGAGAGCAATGCTTGATCTTAGTTCTGAGTTCAATGGTTTAGTTAAAGATATCTTCAAGACCAATCAGCAGCAAAAATAATGATTTCCGTCAATTAAAAATTACCCAAACACAAGTATGTTGTATTTAATATTCTGATTATGGACTTTAGAAGGATAATGAGTTCTCTCACATCTATACTTTGCTTGTCTGTATGATTTATCCAATAACGCCAAAACGGGTGAATTGATCAGGCCCAAAGTTAAATTGTGACAACTCAATATACCCTAGAAGAGATTTATACAGGATTAAAGATAAAAAATGTTGCCCAGAAAAATTCGACATTTATTTTTTTTAAATGCTTTAATTTACACAGACACTTTCGCTAAAATGGCAGCTGAACACTACTGTATATGCCAAGTCCATTAGCGCCTGATCCAATCAGGGTTTAGTCATGTGTTTGGTGTCTATTCTGAACCAATAGAAATAGTTTGGTGGTAACATCTATCTTTCTTTCTATTTCATTATCCAATTAGAGTTATGAATCCTTCAATTGGCGCTATCAGTAAATGGAAATATTTACTTCTACTGAAACTATGGTGTTAAAGTGCAAAGGTTAACATCTAAGACTGTTACAGAAACAAGGTGTGGAGCTTCTTAAAATTTTAGTGCATCAAAAATTGTATTTATGATTTTTCTTACCCTGTAATTGTCGCATAGTATACTCCTAGATTCTTAATTTTGGGACCAGGATAGACGGAATGGCATCTTAAGTAAATAATGTGACAAAAACAAACAATAATTATATTTCAAAAATGAAGATAATATAAAGAGAAATGATAAAAAGAAGTCTATAAAATAAATTTTATGACTTTTAAACAATATGTAAAGCAAAACGATTGAAAGTATAAAGACATTTGTAAATATCACAGTGCTGAAAATGTGCCTCAATTTAATGTTATACAGGGTGTCCCACGAAACATGACAGTATCAAGACGGTTTACAGGTCGACTTTGATCTTTGAAATGGTTTACAGCATTTATTCGTAAACCAAATATTATAAGTAGCATTCTAGGGTTAATAGTCACAAAACACCGATTCCAATATAGTCCTCGGCAATTCCAAAATGTGGTCTGCCTTTTTCATGCTTCCAATATTACTGGAGATTTTTGTTCAGATTTTGACAATTTTGGCTTTATTTCAAAAAAATTAAAATCGGAACGAAATTTTCGATATCTCCAGGCCAAAAAATCAGACCACATTTTGGAAATCCAAGCTTGGAGAATTTTGTGGTCAGCGTTTTAATAATCACACGTGTGAAAGAAGGTTGACGACTGAGTTTCTCAAATAAATTTAATAATCAAAGACGACTTTCAAATTGTCTTGTTACTGTCATGTTTTGTGGGACAACCTGTACCTCATATTAGACACAAATCTTTAGATAGTTTTCTTATTTAAAGGGACTGACAGCGTAAATTCAAATAACCCTCCACGCAAATATAGCCATGCCTGATATTCACATCGGTACCCATGAAAGCTTTTTCTGATCAAGTATGAAGTTATAATATTCAATTGCGGATTCTTTACAAATGTGATTAGCGCACTTATTCTGCAGGAAAACATCAGGTAGCAGATTTAGCACTTATTCTGCAGGAAAACATCAGGTACCAGATTTAGCACTTATTCTGCAGGAAAACATCAGGTAGCAGATTTAGCACTTATTCTGCAGGAAAACATCAGGTACCAGATTTAGCACTTATATATCTAAAAAAACGACAATATCTTCCACATTATAGATCAGAGAATGGGTTCAAGGGTTTCGTTGTGAATCGGGCATTGTCATCTTTACATTTAGGGTAACTTGAAGTTAAAATTACATTCCCTTTAAAGAAAGAAGACGACAATTACACCGCTAGAAATTGGTTATTTCTGAATCTAAGGAATACAAAGAGGTTAATTCCTAACCTGCCGAACCCCCGATGGTACTGCTGACTCCAAATGAAATCTTTACTTGTTATTCCTGAAAATATCATTGAGGGGAAACTTTTTAAAAGTAAATTTATTAAAAAAAAAAATGTTTTTGTCGCCAGGACATGATCGGGTTGTTACGATCGAATTTCGGAATTTTTCTATTGCAAAAGTTTGGTGTTGTAGGGGTTTTTGTATTGATCTGCTAGTGGTTGTAATCTGGCAGCACATTCATCCGTCCACGCTTCATTTTTTCTGAGAAGAGGGTTGGCAAGATTCCAGCTGCCTTAAGGCTTCTTAGGCCTTACTGGAGTGCCTTACAGATAGGAAACATCAAACTATTTGCTACCAATCATCTGTAAGCCTGGATTGGATACCTCCAGGTACCTATAGCTGGCAACAATAGACTCTCCCTGCTTGTCAACCTTTCCTCTCTTCATCATCATTCACTTGGATCAATTCACTTCAAGCTTCTTTCTTGTGGAGCAGAAAGCACGTGCCCTTTCGCTGCGAGAGTTGTTAACAGCCGCCCCTCTGTCCTCCTACATCCGTGAGGTGGTCAAAACTGCTTAACCTGATGCTGACTACAGATGATTTTGAAACTACAGGTTTCTGGGGAGTACGGGAATAAAACCCGTGAGCACCAGTCTGGATACCAATCCAGTTACCGGCTGCATACAGGATGAAATAGTTGAAGGATGAAATAGTTGACGGATGAAATAGTTTAAGGATGAAATAGTTGAAGGATGAAATAGTTGAAGGATGAAATAGTTGAAGGATGAAATAGTTGAAGGATGAAATAGTTGAAGTATAAAATTTTAAAGTACACTTGTAAGAATAGTTTGTAGAAGACTCTTTGACAAAACTTAAATTCCTGAAATCTTTTATGCAAGTAAAAATGGTATGCTTGATAAATTTGCTTTTATCAAATTATGCGAAATCTTTACTCAGACCAAACGATATTTGAAACCAATTGAAAAAATTGGTTAAATTTTAAATAGATATCAGGTACAATAGGTGGCAACAGATAAATGAACCAATTATGCACGACGTCACAAGTGTCAAATATAACAAGGAAAAAGAAATTTTCTCACATTAGTTGACATGTTTTCCGAGATTATATAAAAAAATGCAAAAACAGAAAATAAAGTTTACATAAAATATTACACCTTTTTCACTGTAAGATAAGCACTTAGTCTAAAATTATCACTATTCTATTAAAGATTGACCGACTGTAGTTGTGATCAATACATACACATACATATATAAATGTCGTCGTTCTGTTTTTTAATACGATTGATTTATCTTGAAATTTCTTCCTTCCTAACAGTTCTGACCAACATCTTCTCAATCATATCTTCAGCTGAAAAGGTTGCAGATTCAAACAATTCCTGCGCAAAGGTTTATATTTAAATGTTTAATGGAAGGATGATGGTGGAAACAAAACGCCCAAAAACAAAAAATGTCCAATAACAAACCACCGAAACATAACACCAAAAGCATAAAACCCAAAACATAACACCCAAGAACAAAGCACCCAAGATTTCAAAATGTCCAGAGCAACAAAAAGCCCAAATAAATTAATGTCCAAAGTTACAAAATGTTCAAAGTTATAATTAAAATATCCAAAGTTACAAAATATCCAAAGTTACACAATGCTCAAAGTTACAATTAACATGTCCAAAGTTACAAAATGTCCAAAGTTACAATTAACATGTCCAAAGTTACAAAATATCCAAAATTACAATTAACATGTCCAAAGTTACAAAATGTCAAAAGTTACAAAATTTCCAAAGTTACAAAATATCCAAAGTTACAAAATGCACAAAGTTACAAAATTTCTAAAGTTACAAAATGTCCAGAGTTAAAAAATGTCAAAAGTTACAAAATGTCCAAAGTTACAAAATTTGCAAAGTTACAAAATGTCCAAAGTTACAAAATATCCAAAGTTACAAGATGCCCAAAGTTACAATTAAATTGTCCAAAGTTACAAAAAGTCCAAAGATACAAAATGTCCAAAGTTACAAAATATCCAAAGTTACAAAATGTCCAAAGTTACAAAATGTCCAGAGTTAAAAAATGTCCAAAGTTACAAAATGTCCAAAGTTACATAATTTGCAAAGTTACAAAATGTCCAAAGTTACAAAATGTCCAAAGTTGCAAAATGTCCAAAGTTACAAAATGTCCAAAGTTACAAAATGTCCAAAGTTACAACTAAAATGTCCAAAATAAACAAATGTATAAAGATACAAAATGTCCAAAGATACAAAATGTCCAAAGTTACAAAATGTCCAAAGTTACAAAACGTTTTGCACATTCTCAGGAATTCAATTGCAACAACTTACGTTTAAAAATCTTTAAACTTTGTCTTCAATGTTCAGTTTTCACGTAATAGTTAGTTAAGGATTTAACCCAGAAGCATAAGATTAAATTGCGAGAAAGTGGCTCGGAGAAGAAAATGAGAAAAATGTGACTCAGAAGAGAAAATCTAAGAAAGTTGTTAAATATAAAAATAAAGGGGCTTAGACCGGATATTGATTAAAAAGTGGCTCTGACTGAAGAATACATAAAAATCTTTTATTTTACCTGAGGAGTTACTGTAGTGTTAGTACTATGCCAAGTGTGGTTTCCAGTTGCTGAAGTAAAACAAACTATTTCAGCTTTAATCAAACAGTCTAATCTATTTCTAATATAAGATAAGATAAGATAAGATAAGATAAGATAAGATAAGATAAGATAAGATAAGATAAGATAAGATAAGATAAGATAAGATAAGATAAGATAAGATAAGATAAGATTAGATAAGATAAGATTAGATAAGATAAGATAAGACAAGATAAGATAAGATAAGATAAGATCAAATAAGATAAGATAAGATAAGATAAGATAAGATAAGATAAGATTAAGAGCTGTGACTTTGTAAATTATGTGTATGTAGTTACCTATAGCTGTGTTTGTTTGTAAACCATTGAAAATTAAATTTAACAAAATAATCTGTTTATAACCTGAGTAATCCGATGAGCTTAAAAACCCATTTTCCAACAAAATATTGGATTTGTATCCACCACCCTCACTGCACAGTGTAATCTCAGGGAACTCCGCCTTAAAGAGACAATTTATCAAATTCAGCCTTGAAGAGACAATTCATTAAAATTCAGTTTTAAACAGACAATTCATTTAATTCAGGTTTAAAGAGACAATTCATAAAATTCAGGTTTAAAGAGACAATTCATTAAATTCAGGTTTAAAGAGACAATTCATTAAATTCAGGTTTTAAGAGACAATTCATTGAATTCAGAGACACTTTATTAAATTCAGCCTGAAAGAGACAATTCATTAAAATTGAGGTTTAAGAGACAATTTATTAAATTCAGCCTGAAAGAGACAATTAATTAAAATTCAGGTTTAAGAGACAATTTATTAAATTCAGCCTTAAAGAGACAATTCACTAAATTCAGCCTTAACCCTAATCCGACTGGGCTATTTTTGGCTTATATAGATGGGGGGGGGAAGTGTTTTCCAACCCACCCACCTCTATGATTTTACCCTTAGAGTTGAGAAAGGGAATTGTGATACATGTCCCTAGTCAAATTTTCAAGGTCTGCCCATTAAAAAAAATTAGACCTCTACCTCGAACTTAAATGGGAGGATTTAAAAATAGTTCAAACAGAACGTCGAAAATTTGTTTAAAAATAGTTATTTATACTTTTGACAAATAATAACATGTGACACAACACATCCATTTTCCTGTTGCTTAATTATTAAAAAAGTTATTAAGCGTTTTTTTAAGCACCGACCCGCCATCAAACAACAAAAAATGTTAGCAAAATTTGTTCACAGCTATGATGTTGAAAAAGTAAATAATGTAAGCCGTTTATGAGTTATTTAGAAAAAACCAAATCGTGATAGGGTCAAAGAAACAAATCATTAAAAATAAATTCTAAAGAGAGAATGCGATAAATTAATGCTGAGGCTGAAGGGAATTCTCTTAATAATGCTTAGTTTTAAAAGATGGTGGTTTAAAACGTTAAAAAAACGAGGTATTAAGATTTTATAGCTAATTTGAATACATACGTCGGAAAAAAATTCCCCATACAGCAAGAAACAGAACGAGGTGGTACAATATACTGGTCACGTGATTTCCGTCTGTATCACATGACCAGCATACTGCACTGCCACTAGCTGAAGTTCTAGTGACGTAATATGGACTTTACGGAATATATGAAATAGTATTATCAATTATATATATTAAAAATGCAAAATAAAAATTAAAAAATTATAATAGGACTAGGAGCAGACCTGAGGTTCTCAGACTCCTGTGGGATATAATCGTTTTTAGATTGGTTGTGTATTTGCTGAATATGATCGGTTTAAACCTACTACTTTTATACAAAATTGTATATTTATGAATTTTCGTATAATTTTGACACCGTTTTATATCAATTTCTCGAGACAGGAACATCAGATAGATGTCTTATATGTATCGTTCAACGCCTGAGATTCATCCTATACCCCATTCGTTTTTCCTTTACAGTCCCTTTAAGAAAGTAAGTAACAACATATTGAAAATAGAAATTTAAGTTTACTTACCCTTTGCTGATCAGCTATAAAACTTGAAATATATGAGGGCTCCTCCAAATACTGATATTATTTTGGTTTAAATGTATTATTAAAGTAAAATGAAAGGCAGCATGGGCTGAAGCCTAAAATTTAGGAGTTAATCGCAACCAATTAGTTCTATCTAATGTTTCTGTTTCAAGAAATTGATATAAAACTGAGTTAAAGTTATACAAAAACTAAATATACATAATATGGCCGACGGAGCCACGCGACCAGATACTAAACGGCCATTGGTTGAAAATTTGGTCACGTGATACATATTTTGGAGTCAGCCTATACCCCCTTTCATTTTATGTTAACTGTCCCTTAAAATTCTTCAAAGATTAAAGATTGCGTTCCACTGAAAACTAAACAAAAGAAAAAATCTAATCTATGGAACCGACTTAGGAATCTGATAGCTCCGGTAGTTTTTATTTGACGCAGAAGTAAAAGAAAATCATATATATATGGTTACATATTAGAAATTCAAAACATTTTTGTTCTGCTCAATAACTCTTCAATTAAAGTAGTAAGGACTGAAAACTATAAGATTTCAATCTTACGCGCAAATAATACTTAAATTGACGTGGTTTTCAAAAAATATAACAATGTCCGCAATTGATAGAAATAAAGAATTCAATGGATTTATAATCTAATCCTCTTTTTTAAAACATTCCTTTCAATCAAAATGCTCATGGCTATTCTTAGTGTTATGGTTAAATGCACTGCAGACACATAGATTCAGACAGCTAAAGGGTTACCCTACAAAGGATGAGACTTCAGAGACGATTGTACAAAATGTACACTGTCAGTTTTGATTCCCTGTAGGGTTTCCACGAAATGGCTAAATCTTTTGCGCAAAATTTGCGCTATTTTCGCGCAAATTTTTTTTTGCGAACTTTTGCGCTATTTTTGCGCATGAAACGCAATGAGTTTTGCGCTATTTTTTTGTGCAATTTGTGCAAAACCGGAAATATTTTTTGCGAAAAGTGCACATGAACAAAATTTTAGTTTTGCGCAATTTGCGCAAGTTTTACGCAAAATTTAACTTTTTAGGCAAATTGTCAAAAATTGATATTCTAAGCTTAGATTTAAACAACTGAAGATTTATTCCATACAAAAAAAAAATATTAACATAAGAGTATGATAACGATTATACTACACTCAATTGGTTACTTCCAGTTACAAAAAGTTTAAATTAAGATAGAAATTAGAGAGTGTGAAACCTGGCAATATTTTAATCCTATTAAATAATTTCAAGTGACCCTTAAAAGCTTTGCCTAATCAAGTATGAATTATATTCTTAAATTTTTTTAATCAAATTTCTGAAATCTTTTTAATCTCATATAAAATAATGCAAGAAAGTAACCAATGCCTGAAGAATCCACTTTTAGGAAATATGCATGTCCAAAACTAAAATTGTCAAGAAAATTGTGAGATTTGAACTCTTCTTAACTGTCATTGGTCAATTATGTAAAAGTGACCAATAGGAAGACATTCCAAAACAAGATTTTTCCAGAATTGAATTCTAAGAAACACACACCGTCACCAACCGTTTGATTTTTACGAAATTGCGGAATTGCGCAAAATTCTAGTTGCGGAATTGCGCAAAACTTGAGTTTCGCAAAAGGGGAATAGGGCAATTTTGCGCGAAATGACTTTTGCGAATGATTGTGCAAATTATTGATGATGCACAAAGAAAGAAAAATTTTGCGTTTCGTTCTGCAAAAATTGCGCAAAAGTTTTGCGAATGGAAACCCTAATTCTCTGCAACTGTAATCTTGTTTGTCTCTTTGCCAAACCATTAGATAAGCCATTAGATTACTATATATAGACTTAATTTAACCATGGGATCATCATATTTTATGAGTTTCCGGTCGTCTTCACAGGCTCATTCTTAGCGGGTAACCCTGAATAAAAAATTGCATCAATTTTTAAGACTGGGACGACTATGAAGTACCTCAATGCTTTGATTTTGCCTCACCAACTCACTTCATCCTCCTCTTACAGTTCTTAGCATTTACTACAACATTTTCAAAGGTAATTGACAAGATGATCAATGATTATTTCGCGGAGTTCGTGTAAGGCTATATCTAGAATAAGAAGAGTTGATTAAATACTGATTCATACTTTACTTGTCTGTTTGCAATAAACGTAAAAGCGGCTGAACCGATCGGGCCCAAATTTTGTGTGGAACCTCACTTGGCCCCAAGGTGTGTTCAGCTCAGAATTACAAAAATTTGTATCAAGTATATTTTTTATTTAGGAATTGAGTCTTTGCCACAAACTCTGATTTTCTAGTCCATATATCTTAGCAACCTTAGGTCATAGATCCTAGATATTTCAAACTAAGAATTTCGTTGGATCAAATAATCTAAGTTTGAAATATCAAAAGTTTCCACCATTTGGTTGCAAAAAAATAGTGATTAGAAAATTTGAGTCTGTGGTAAAGAATCAATTCTTTTGAAAACTAACGAAACAAATTGTAAATCCGCGAAATTTTTTATTATTGTTTATTCGAAGAGACAATGCTGAAAAATTAAACAACAATTAAAAGTTGACATAGAAGATGGACATCTGATTTATTTGGACACGAATCTTTAAAAGTTTTTGAAAAAGGCCATGTTTGCAAAAGATGGATATTATATCTCACAATGTCTAACAATTATCGATTCAACCTAGAAAATCTCGTATTTTTCAATTAGCTTGAGCCTTGAGTTGTGAGTTTTCGATGAATTTGAAAAAAATGATATTTGAATTTTATTCAGGGTGACTCAATAATCTTAGGATTTAATTGAGGGCATTAAAATTGTCTTTCATCTTTAATTGTTATTCGCTTCCTAAGACAGTGAGGAGATATCAAATTATAACTTTAAAAATTAGGCCGGTATTGGAAATATTAGGAAATCATGGGTGTCATTTAATCAATGTGATTGCGCCATAAATTTTAAAGCAGGCCAACCACATGTATTAAATCCCTCAAATAAGATAACAGATGATGTTTACTGTTTTCCTTGTACATAGCATTAAAAGAGTTAATCAAAAACTATTCCAAATATACTACTTTATACTCATGTTTCTTGGAACACCCTGTATAGTAAACTATGTTTTATATCTTTAAGAAAATAAGTCCTAAATTTTAAGGAAAAAGAGTTTTCTGTCTGATGATGTTTTTAGATTGGGTCCCCTTTTTCCAAACTGGGACTCCAATGATGTTTTCTAAACTATAGGTCCCCTTTTCCAACTAGGACTACTTTCCAAAACTGGGACTCTGTTCTAATACTGGGACTCCGTTCTAAACTGGGATTCCGTTTTAAAACTGGGACTTCGATCTAAAACTGGGATTCCGTTCTAAAGCTGGGACTTCGTTCTAAAACTGGGACTCCGTTCTAAAACTGGGACTCCGTTCTAAAACTGGGACTCCGTTCTAAAACTGGGACTCCGTTCTAAAACTGGGACTCCGTTCTAAAACTGGGACTTCGTTCTAAAACTGGGACTCTGTTCTAAAACTGGGACTCTGTTCTAAAACTGGGACTCCATTCTAAAACTGGGACTCCGTTCTAAAACTGGGACTTCGTTCTAAAACTGGGACTTCGTTCTAAAACTGGGACTCTGTTCTAAAACTGGGACTCCGTTCAAAAACTGGGAATCCGTTCTAAAACTGGGACTCCGTTCTAATACTGGGACTCCGTTCTAAACTGGGATTCCGTTTTAAAACTGGGATTTCGATCTAAAACTGGGACTTCGTTCAAAAATTGGGACTCTGTTCTAAAACTGGATCTCTGTTCTAAAACTGGAACTCCGATGATGTTTTTGAACCAATATTTTCCTTTGCAAAACACGATGCTATCTGTACCAGCAAGATTCCAGCACACACTAAACACAATCATCTTAAAGGGACTGTAAGCTTTATTTTAATGGACTCTGCATGCAAAAATGAATTAGGTGAATAAAAAATATCATTTGATTTAAAGCTATAACGGAAAATCATCGTTTGTAAAGTAAAAGGCATTGTAGAGGCTATGCGAAATTATCATTAGTCACTCAATTATGAAACCAGCCTATTTCATAATTTGGTTTTCTTTTAAAATTAATTTTAGATTTTCTATAAAACGATGTTCCAGGGCCCAAAAGGTTTTATAGCAAAAATATGTGAAGTACACCTGCAGTATGAAAACAGTACAACAAAATGGTCGTTTTACACTTTTTTCTATTAAATTCCACTCTAATATATATTCTATTCTCTTTGATGGCAATTGTACCCTTATACCCTTAAAAATGTTTTCTGATCAAGTATGTATTAAATAACAATGTTTATAATTTTTAAAAATAATTATTTTCAATTTTGTGTTCTCTACAAAAGGGACTTGCGCATTTCCACTACAGAAAACATATAGGAATTGATCAGAATTAAACTTTGTTAAACCATGAAACTGCATTGCATAGATGATCACTTGAAATTAGGCTTACCATAACTTTACAGTTAAAAATATTGAGTTTTTACCACAAAATTTAAAATTTAAAAAAATTTAATTGTGTAAAAACTGAAAAAATACCTGTAAAGAAAATGATGTACTGAAATCTCTTTAAAAAGCGTAACATTTTTATCTTCTTCTCTAAAGTTGCCATGTTCAAACCTGAAAGTTATTTTTCATGTTCATTCAGCAATTGATCTGATCTCTAATAAAGAGCTCCCTAGGTTTCCAAATTTTTGGATCAAATGGTTCAGTTAATTGCATGCTGAACCTTTCTTAATGCTATGTTAAAAAGGCTTAAACGGTTAAAGCTGAAATTAATCCGAAAAAATATTTTTTTTCATTTTGTCATGCCAAATTATTGCATGGTTTTAATTTAATTCATTTTTTTGTGGTTTAGGTTCAATTAATTAATTTCTGTGTGGTTTAAATTCAATTTAATTAATTTCTGTGTGGTTTAGATTCAATTTAATTAATTTAAGTGGGGTTTAGATTCAATTTAATTAGTTTCTGTGTAGTTTAGATTCAATTTTATTAATTTATGTGGGGTTTAGATACAACTTCATTCATTTCTGTGTGGTTTAGATTCAATCTAATAAATTTCTATGGGGTTTAGATTCAATTTAATTGATTTCTGTGGGGTTTAGATTCAATTTAATTAATTTCTGTGTGGTTTAGATTCAATTTAATTAATTTCTGTGTGGTTTAGATTCAATTGAATTAATTTATGGGGTGTTTAAATACAACTTCATTCATTTCTGTGTGGTTTAGATTCAATCTAATAAATTTCTTTGGGGTTTAGATTCAATTTAATTGATTTCTGTGTGGTTCAGGTTCAATATAATTAATTTCTGTGTGGTTTAGATTTAATTTAAATAATTTTTGTGTGGTTTATATTCAATTGAATTCATTCTTTTTGTGGTTTAGATTCAATCTAATTAATTTCTGTATGGTTTAGATTCAATTTGATTCATTTCATATGTGGTTTAGATTCAATTTAATTAATTTCTGTGTGTTTTAGATTCAATTTAATTAATTTCTTTGTGGTTTAGATTCAATTTAATTAATTTCTGCGTGGTTTAGATTTATTTTAATTAATAATTGTGTGGTTTAGATTCAGAGGGGAAGATTTATTGATATATTTTGGTCACAACCACGGTAAACTGGAAGTCCTATTTAAATTGCAAGGAGTCTTAGCTTTAACCCCCATTTCCCCCAATTAAATGTAGATTTTGTTAATATTTGCTATTTTATACTTTTTTATGGGGCAATGAATTCACGTCACGTCTTAAAGGGACTGTTTAAGCGTAATTTCAAGTGACCCACCATGCAAAGATAGCAATACTAGATTTACAGATTAAGGTTTACTTGAAACCTTAATCTGATCAGAAATGTGGAAAATGCCGTCGTTTTTGACTCAAAAAGTTTTTACTTTTAAGAGTTTTTCCATTGCTTTTTAGAACCAAGAAGTGCGCAAATTCCTTCCGCAGAGATGCCGCAAATGAAAATAACAGTTTAGAAAACAAAAACATTGATATCTAATTCATACTGGATCAGACAAAGCTTTCAAGGGTACCCTTGTAAATCGGACATTGCCGTCTTTGCCACAATAAAGTTACTCCTGTAGGCCGAGTCCATTAGTGCCTGATCCAATATCTTTCTATCTATCTCATTATTCAATCAGAGTTATGAATCCTTCAATCGGCGCTATCAGTAAATGGAAATATTTACTTCTACTTAAACTATAGTGGCCTAGTATGGGGTAGGTTAAATTGGCCTTTCATAAAAAGTCTGGCCGCGCCATCAAAGTTGAAACCGAGCCGGCATTATAGGATAGGGTCAGTATCAAGAATGTAAGGCAAGGAAAGTCAATTGCGGTTGTGTATACTCTGTGTACATATTGAAACCAGGTCTCTCTGGGTGGAATTTGTAAACAATAATAGATGCATCAGTGTTCGTTTAGTATCCGAGGAAGTTAAAAGCATTAAATTTTGATAATTTTGATAATTCGCATAATAATTTCCTATGACCAGAATATTTCATTGATTTTTTATGTGAATGATGGATCCCATGTCAGGCTTCGACATCCGTCTGTGTTTACATTAGCGCCCAGAGACAGTTCACTGCAGTACTAAAGATGTGTACACTTCTGAAATGACTTTCCTTGCCTTACATCCTTGGTCAGTATGGTACTTGTAAGGACGGTACTAGGGGTGGGTCCGGTTCTAATTAAAATTTACCCCAGTCCAACGTGTTGCATGAAGGGTCAATTGAGATTACGCTTTCAGCCCTTTTAAGTTGAACCGTCAATGAACCGTAAAAATAACGAATCTGTTTTTCCAAATTACGAATGGATTGTTTGTGATAAACTGTCAGATATACCTAACATAGTCTTTAAATCCATTTTAATTTATACAACCCAAAAAATGTCTTCGAAAAGTTTTTAAACTAAATACTGCTTTAGGAATATAAAAAATTGTCTTTCCCTTGCGACGCTTTCAACTTTTTTGACGAAAAATTGGTCTTAAGAATCATTTATAAAGCAAAATTTCCTTCACTCTCAAGTAGTTTTACAAATTATATACAGTGAAACCCTTAATAACGAATACATCGGAAGAATTATCAAATGTCGTCTTGACAATTTTTCAATGGGTTTTATACTATATTTCGTAAATTTCAGTATTTGCGAAAATAAATAAATAGCCATGAATATGCGGGAACAGTTTTTAAAGAGTTCCATATAATCATTTTTCAAAAACTAAATATCTGCAACATTCCATTATCAGAAAGTGAAGAATACGACATTTGATGAATTCTTTCGATGTATTCGTTATTAAGGGTTTCACTGTACCTTTTCCCCTGTCAAATTTAAAGGGAGTGACCGGCAGTGTCTGGTAGTTGAACTGAGAATGTAGTACAGTAGAGAAATTTTTAGGATTCATTTGAGACATATAAAACGTTTTAATGATGTATAACTACTAAGTTTGAGCGCAAAGTCGAATTTCAAAATCATCCATTTGAGTGATGACGTTTTGAGAATCTATTTGTTAAAATCATTAAATAACGACGACAAAAAATATAACACACATTCTACAGTAAACTAATTAGTTGTGTAGGAACAGGTTGAGAAAATGAAAATTAACTCTATTCATCGAAAATAAATAATCTTAATCAGTTATCAGTTTCTGTAATCTCTCATTGTTCATAAATATTCCTGTAGATTTTCTGGAATTTTTATTGAAAAGATGACATTTGAAGAATTTGTAAAAATCTGCCAACAAAGGAATTGAGTCTTTGCAACAAATTCAGTTTTTGTAAAACCTATATCTTTCCAACCTTATGATGGAAACCTTTGATATGTCAAACTTACATTACTTGATCTAACAGAATTCATTGTTTGAAATATTAAAGGTCTACGACATTAGGTTACAACGATATTGAGATTAGAAAATCAGAGTTTGTGGCAAAAACTCAAATCCTTTGTAAAGAATAAGTAATTCAATATATATAATGATGAAAAAGAAATAATTGATTCTAACATTGATTTATTAACAAATTTCTATTGAGAATTATTTTTAACACATATTTCGTCGTCGTTAATTAATAATTAAAAAAATAACGATTCTCAATATGTAACCACCCAAATGGCTAATTTTGAACGTCGGCTTTACGCTCAAACTCAGTAATTATACATCATTAAAACGTTTTGTATGTCTCAAATGAATCCTAAAAAGTTTCTCCAGAATACTAAATTCTCAGTTAATTGCCGGTCACTCCCTTAAAGTTTACTGTCAAATTATCTAACAATGCAATAAAAAATGAAAAATAAATTTTTTCAACTTATTCATAAAAAATATTTATTCTACATTGTGCCATACTGTATATACTATACTGTATATACTATACTGTATATACTATACTGTATATACTATACTGTACAAGATAATTTTAAGCTTTCAAAATATGCTTTACACATTTTCTAAATATGAAAAATTACACAAATATCCAATGTTTTCACAATTATGTTTTTTTTTTGATCAATTTTAATTGATATTTTTAATATCTTGGTTAACTTTGCTAGTGTCGTTAGTGTCACTCTTTAACCAGGAGATTAATTCAAGTTAATTGAAAATCCTGTTGAAAATATGTTTTCGAAGATGTTCTTCAAAATTTGTTAATCAATCATAATAGTTCATATTTTAAAACACAAAATTTATATTTTGCAAATCCCAGAAAACCGATATTGATATTTTTCAATCATAAACAGCTGGCATGCAACAAGTCGTTTTCAACAAATACACGCGTTTCTACGAATACCATTTAGGATGTATCCCACCCCTGACTAACCAGAGTAAACTTAACAGCATTCGGTTTCTTCTATTCATAATTATACGTGTTTTGGTCTTTAATTTACAATCTTTTAACTTACGGATTAATCAACTTACGACTTAAAGTACGTTTGAAAATAAATAATCATAAATAATAATAATCCTTTTGGAGGGGATTTAATTTCACGGAAATATATTTTATAAATGGACATTTCATAGTAGCGACATTTCATTGACAAAACAATTTGTTGACAGAGTAAAATATGTCTTTTAACTTTGCAAACTATAAAGTGTGTAATAAACAAGAAAGATAATTTGTAAAATTGGAAATAATCCTTTACTAAAAATTAAATGGTCTATGAAATGTCTTCTATCAAAGTTTCTATTTATGAAATGCTTTTTTATGAAATGTCCTATCTATAAAATGTTCTTTTTATGAAATGTCCAATCTATGAAATGTCTTATCACCTATAAATGAATTTTCTCTATATAAAATGTCCTGTCTTTTAAATCAAATGTCCTGTCTATTAAATGTTTTGTACATAAAACATCCTATTTATTAAATGTACTTTAAATAAAATGCCCCGTCTATAAGAACTGACCCAAAAACAACTTAACGATTTGGACCCGGATTAAGCTCACTTGAATTTGAATCCCTCTAAAGAAAACCCTCAATAACATTATAAATATTAAATAAACAAGATGAAAACAAATATCATAACATTATAAATATTAAATAAACAAGGTGAAAGTAACTAAGAATTATAGAAAACGACCAAACAAAGAAGGGTTTATTTAGAATGATGAAAGGTCCACTCTGTCACAAAACACT